AACAGGAGATGCACTTCTTTGCCAGGCACCCCTTACCTGCAAGCAGACCTTTGCCTTTCAAATATCTCAGGGACCCATCCACTTCATTCCATCACCACACCTGTTTCCCATCTCCTCTCACCCGGACCACTGCATTAGACTCAAAACTCATCTCCCTTCATTGAATTCACTCTCCACTCAGCAGCCAGTGTCCTCTTCAAAATGCAAGTCTGATTTGCCCTGTCTATGCTTATGGCCCTTCAGAGGTGCTCCTTTGCTCGATGATAAAGAAGAAATGGATAAGCTCCTGCATGCTCTGTCCCTCACCTCTCTGACTGCCCTTCCAGACCTGTTTCCTTGCTGTGTCATCCTGGGCAATTTACTCAATGTCTCTGGGCCACAGTTCCTTCGTGTATAACATGGGGAGAATAACAGCTAACAGCAAAGGAAATAATGCATACAAAAGCTCAGCACATGTGCAGGAGGCATGAGGAAAAGAAGATGGAGACAATCATGTTAACTGAGCTCCTTCGGCCTTATTCTTCAGCTCTTTGTGGTTCCTCATCTCGGCACATATTCAGACGTAAGCAGCCATTCCTCCTGGGGCCGAAGACCCAGATCACGCGGAACAGCCCTGGCCCACATGTCCTGACCCCACCAAGTGAATCCCTAGGGCCTCAGGGTCTCCAAAATGGAGGAGGCGGCCCAAGCTGGAGAAAGGGTGGAGGAATAAGCACTGAGCTTGATTATAACCACAGTGCACCAGCCTGCTGCTCATTAGCCTCTCTCCCTGTGGGCTTCCTGCCTCCAGTTCCCAGGGAGGGCCCCTCAAGCACAATCCTTGGTCTTGAGGCTGGGCAGTCATCTTGGTACTGCAGAATAATTTATTTCCTGCCACGTCAAATAGCCTTGAAATGTTGATTAACCTGCAGGCAGCCAAGGCTATGTTTCAAGGATGGCGGAGTTTGAGCTACTTGCCAAGGAGAAGCTCTCAAGTCCCGGGTGGATGGGTTTCCTCTGGCATCCTGCAGCCTCCTAGTTACTCTTAGTTTCTTTGGTTCAGCTTATTTCTCAGGCTAGAGTCAATCCATCTCTCCAGCTTAAAACAGCAATGACTGGACAGTGCCCTGGTGTGGCCCAAGCTGCCAAAGCACGGCATCCACAAGCAGCCAGTCCAGAAGCTGGGAGGCACCCTGCGGGAGATGGAAGTCAGCCATGTAGATGCTGACCCAGACACTTGGGAGCCCGCTGCAGACTCTCGGCTTCTCTCTACTTGCCTTTTAAAACAACTCCAGCACTTTCTACTTGCCAGACACTACGCCAAGCACTTTACAGATAATAACTCAATTAGTCTTGACCACAAATCTATGAAGTAGAAGCAATTATGACTCTCACTTTGCAGGTGAGGAAATAGCCACTGAGAGATTAAATGATTTACTAGGTTATTTAACTAGTAAACGTCAGGCCTGACTCCAGAGCCCACACTCGTAATTCAGCCACTGTGCTCCACAGTCTTCAGAGGGTTTCGGTCTCTAGACTCCCCAACCACACGAACTGAACGAGTTAATAAACGAAAAGCACTCAAAACAGTACCAACAGTGCCTGCACAGAGTAAGTGCTCAGTAGAGGCACGTGCATCCGTGCAGCGAGTCCACAGAGTGATAATGAGAATGGGCTTTTAGCCAGCCAGCCAGTTCTCAGACACGGGATCTCAGCAAACTACGTAATCTCTCTTTCCTTCAATGTCTTCAGCTGGGAACTAGGAATAAAACTGACACTTATTTCCTAGGGTCGTTATGAGTATTAAGTGACTTAATATTTGTCAAGCACTTAGAACAGAGCCTAGAACTTGCTAGATGGTGCATTTGCTAAAATCCATATAGAAATGCATGCATATGCACACAATAGGGTGGCAGGGACTTTGTGTCCTTAAAGACCTGGACTTCAAGTCCTGGTTCTCTTGTACTGTCTGGGTCACTTTGGATATACTACCTGCCCTGTCTAAGCCTCAGTTTCCTTACCTGTACAATAGAACCAGACTCCCTATCGATGGAGCTATTGGAGGATGAAATGAGATATGGTATATACGAAAGCACGGAATTCGGCGCAAATTAGGTATTTAGTAAATGTAAATGTTGTTTCTTCTCTGTTCCCCAGCAGGTCTCTCCTTGTAGCCTCATAAACACACGAGCTAATTCCTGCCCTCAAAGCTTTACCACTGCCCCGCCCTCAACGCTCTGTTGTCTAGTGCTCCCATCATCGCCCTCTGTTCTGTCACGGTGGGGACCTTCCAGCTCTAACTTCCTATTATACTCTAGGGACATTGGAAATTCTTGGAGATGTCTAATTACAGCAGTCTCGAATTTCTAAAGGACCAAAGGGGATTGCAGGTCACTTGGCGTTTTTCTAGGCCTTTCCATGCCAAGAGGAGGACAGGATAGTGTGTGTGTGTGTCCCTCCCAGACAGGTTTGGGCCGTTCTGCTCCGCCCACTCTGGACATTCGAATTCTGATGCAGCTGTCGGTGGGAGCCATGTGGGATCCATCCAGGACCAGTCTCTCCCTTGGTGCTGTCTGTAGGGATGATTTTACTTTGGGCCAATAAAAACATCTAAAGGGATTAAGTAAAAAGAGCGGCTATTTCTTTGACACCTGCGTTGATTTGCCATCATGCTCCTTGTTCGGGGACCAAGTTGTCTTCTTCTCATCCTCCAATCAAATTCAGCAACTAGATTCCTATATTTATGAACCCCGCTTCACCTGAGGTGATGGACCCACTGAGCCTGCAGGCTGAGACAGATGGTTTAGGGGAGTAAGGCTCCCAAACGTGGATGAGCATCAGAATCTTCTGGAATGCTTATAAAAAAATCAGGGTGAGTTATTCTTCCAGACCTATGGCCAGGGAGGGCCTACACAGCTAGGGTTGAGAACTGGAGACCATGTTCAAACACTGGCCCTGTGCCTCAGTGTGGCCTTGGACAGGCCACCGCCCTCTCTCCTGGTGGTTTCTTACGATGGGTAATTGTGGAGCTATCTGGACCTGCATCATTGTGAGGATGGAAGGAGATGGGAAGGATGGTCACCAATACAGGGGCATTTCCAGCTCCCTCGGCCATTTGTGTGACCCCCCCGCCTGGCATTCAGTCTGCTGCATCTGTTGTTTGTGACATTGGGGCAGAGACGTCATAATCAGGATTTTCCAACAATCTATTCAAACAAAGCTCAGTGACTCCAGGTAGCTCTCTAACCGTCAAGAACTATCCAAGATTCGTGTTCGGGCACAGTCATACATTCTGGGGGACAAAGGGATCTCCGCCTGGAGATCTGTTTCATCTCTATGTGGATCTGATTAGGCAAAGAGTTCACATTCTCAGGAATTAAGCCCTAAAGAGACAGTGATTTCAAGTCAAGCAAGAACACTAGCCTAACTACGTTTTCTAGTGGGACACCTCTTTTCTTCTCTTCCTTCCACTCTTTATTCCTTGACTATGGTTCTTTAAAAAAAAAAAAATGGCCCTTTTATATCTGAGGCTTTCACGTAAAGCTCCTGCAAATCCTTTTTTGGAACTAAGTTGGATTTAAGGAATGTGTAATAATTCACGTCCCCCAAACTCAGTTGCCTGGAGTGAAACAGCATCTTAATTAAGAAGCGACACAAAACAGTGTTCTCTGGATTGACCCAAATGCGCTCTGCGAGGCTCCAAACGTACATCCTCACATCAAGTTCAGCCCCCAAAGTCTGGGCTTCTTCAGCCATTATCTTAGAGATATTGAGCACGATGGCCCTGTGGCTCCATGGGGCACCTGCCACTTCCTTCCTCACTTCCTTGTGCTTGCTGGGCTGAGATCTCCATTGCTGCTGACACCAGAAGTGGCCTTTGAGGCATCGCCTCCATGCTGGTGTCCACCACTGTCCCTGCCAAACCTGCGCCTGCCCAGGGACAAGGATGCTGACATCCGCCTGGCTCTAGACTGCTGCTGTGCTGCTGGGGGTTTCCCATATCCTCGCATGTTTGAGTGAAGAGCTATTTTGGTTTTTACTTGCCTTTATCTTCCAGCACCCTCACCTTAGGACCCAGGCACAAGTCCCTGCTGCTAGCCCGGAAATCATCTGAGTAACAGGCACGATGCTCTTTCCAAAATCCCACCAGGATCACCCCAAAACCCCACCCTAATCCTGATCTGTTGCAATTGAACTTTGCAGGTGTCCCCCACTCTCTCTTCCTGTGGGTTGAGTCTTTCCCAGGAGGCTCTGTCCCTCAGGTACATAGACATACGGGAGGCCTACGCCACAATCATCCATGCTTTCCCAGACTGAGATCTAAATCCTAATGGGTAATGGGGAGTGAGAGCTAGCTTAAGCTCAGACCCCAGATACGAGGTAATGAATAATTGAACAAATTAGTGAATAGAAGGGAGGGATGGAATGGAAGGGGGAAAAATAGAAGGTAAATAAAAAAAAAAAATGAAAGATTTTGGAAAGCGAATCTTGATCCAAGTTCTAAACTCTCTCACTCATTCAATCGTGGTGGGGTGGGGAGGGCCGAGGAAGAGGTTAAGCATACATAGCCCATCACTTTGGTACAAGTATCAATAGCTGGGTGTAGGAAAAACATGGGAAATTACAGCGCTAAACCTCTCTGAGGCTGCGTGGGGCCCTTCACTCCCTCCCAGCTCTCAGGAAATTACAGGCCCCCTGAGCAGCGGACAAGTGGAGCGTGCTTTGACTCAGAGGCTGGCGCTGACCTGTGTCAGTTGATCACCCTGGTAGTTGGGATTTCCCCAGAATATCAACCTGTGATGATTTTTTTAAGCTTAATTTCCTATACGCTGCTTGGAAATTGTATAACTTCCTGGAATAAGGATTCAGCAATCAACTTGAGATGGTGGAGCCTCTTTGACACTGCCCGTAGCTCAGCACAGTGCCACACACCCAAAGCCTGAAAGGGGTCAGTGAAAGAATGTGAACCAGCGGGTCCCTCCTCCCCATTCTTGGCAGTCATCTCCTTGTTACTGAGTACGTGAAGGACTGGGGAACAAGGCCACGGGCTCCTTGGCTCCTCCGACCTTGGCTTCACGTTTGCCACCATCTAAGGCTTCCCTAAGGCAGCTGGGTCAAGTATCTGGAAATAGGTAGGCCTCTAGCACCGCCCCCTGCATGTGTGCAGAGCCGTTGGTGTCAGAGCACGAGGCCAACGTGAACATGGGAGGGAGCTGAGCCCACCCGAGGCCGTCTTAACCTTCCATCTTCGGCCTGGCTGCACTCAGGGGAAAGACTACAGGCCCCGCCTCGCCTCTCCTCCGTCTGCCCTTTACTTTTTCTGGCTTTGTATTGGCCCATCTTGCTGTCACCCTTATGTGCCTCCTCTTCAGGAAGGGGTGAGGATCTACCTGAGAACAGGTAAGGGTGGTCCAGTCTTAGGTGGCGTTTGATAGCTGTTTGATGAATGAATAAATAATGAATGAACAAATGAATGAACAAATGACTGGGTCTACGTAGGCAGACATGCACATTTTAAAAATAATTAATTTCTCTACTTCTACAGCATGGCGAGTGGAGATCAACGGCTGTCACAACAGCTTGTTAAACTGGAGAGTTTGAGGAAGATATTCTCTTGTACCCGATTCCAGCGTTAAACTAAAGAAAATTAGGAGCAGTTTTATTTGGCCAGGGTTGGGGAGGAAAGGGAGAGACTTACAGCAGGGAGAACTCATTTTGGTGGAGTAGAGGTTGACATCTGCCATTCTACTCCTACCCAAACAATTCCCAGGTGTCAACTCCTAATTCCCAAGGAAGGCTTGATGGATGAATGTGGATGCCTGATACTGACGATCCACGGCGCTTCTCCCCAGGGTCTGCTGACTCTGAGAATCTTCCTCTTCCCCCCTGCTGTGCTATTACACCCCTTTTCATGTGAAAAATAAGGCAAAAGGATCCCACGTCGCCAAAGTAAATAGAGAAAAATAAAACACTCTAAGCAGACGTCTCTCCCACCACGTTTCTACTCTTCTTCGAGTTCTGCTTTACTTTCTCCAGGAACCTCTTTCTTCTCTTCACCAAGCGGCACAACCGTCCACCCGGTCACCTGAGGTAGAAACCTGGGATTCATCTGGAGCATCTCCTCCCTCATCTTTTACATCCAAACAAATGGTCCCCAGCATGTCGGTTCCCCTTTGGAACTCCATCACCTCTACCACCCCTGCTGTACCGCCATGGTCATTACCATCTCTCCCAAGACTGACCGCTACGATCATTTCCAAACCAAGTTCCTTGCTCCCCCATGTGTCCAACCCCACTTTGTCTTCCACTGTCCCACACCGTGGCCAGAGGTATTCTTCTGGCCTACATGTTTCCGGATACTTGACTGCATGTATGAAAGCCTTAGAGCATTGATGGGATCGCATCCTCCCACTGCTTAAAATCCTTCTGTGACTTGTCCTTCCCCTGGGCAAGTTCAAATGCGTTAGTCTGACACGGAGGGCTCCTTATGATCTTGTCCCCGCTGGTCCTGCAGCTTCAGCCTCATCTCTCATCACATCCCTGCACGCTCCCCTTGCTCCTGAACCTTGAGCCTCTGAACACTGATTCTCCAAAGCACCATGCTCCTTCCACCTGATTGAGTGGGCGTGGGCGTGTGGGCTGATGAGGAAATGCTTTCCAGGGTAGGTAGCCGGGTGGCCTCTCCTAACCACACGCTCTGCAGTCAGCGCCGTCTGGCATTTTCTCTCCTAGCATAGTCATTTTCTCAGCAATTATCACAATGTATAAGTAAACATTTATTTCTATTTGTTTCTTGTCTCTCCTGTGAGGGCAGGGACCACATGTGTTCTGTTCACGATACCCCAGGCACCTAGCACAGTGCCTGGGACATAACTGGCAATGAATAAATTGGCAATCAAAAATCAATTATAATCGGGGAGCAAATTGATAAATTTTTTTCATGATGAACAAGTGAATGAATAAATGAATGGGAGTGCAGGCCAAGTGAGCAGCATAAACAGAGGCATGGAAGAGTGTGAGAACATGATCCGGTCAGAGGACGTCTGTGGTTGGTTATAGAGGATTTATGTGTTTGGGAGAGTGGGAGCCTGGGAGTGGCTGGGGAAAGCATTTCTTGCAGTAATATTGAGGTCACGTCAGTATTCTGCCACATTCTTTCTATGGCGAGATAATATCGCCTCTGCCTGGTAACTGGTTATATGACTCCGGTTCTCAAGTGTCTGCTATTGCCCGTGGGAAGTGTGCTTTCTGCCGGGTTGGGCAGTTGGAGCAGGTGCTGGCAGGGCCTGACTCTGTTTGCAGGTGTGGGCTCTTGCATTCCAGGTGTGCCTTGGATTACCTGCTGCTGCTGTCACCTGCTGTATTTTGCATGGTTCGGTATCGGCAAGTCCCATCCTGAGTCTCCCCCAGTGGCGGCACTTGTAGTTCTGCCTGCGTCAGAGCACCTGTTGAGGAGTCTTGTCGCACTTCATTCTCTGCCTTGCGTTTCTCATCTAACTCCCACAGCGTTTAACACCAGCCTTGAGATCCTTAATAACGGTACAAGGTAGTACAGGACAGCTTTTTATTCATCTATTCAAATATATGTTAATTGCATACAATGGGACAGACCCCATGCCAGGCACACGTGTCTCCTAGTCCGCTCGTGGTTCTACGCACTCTGCACTGTTCAAACGTTCACCGTCTGATGGTTCAGCGATTCATCACTGCATTCCCTCAGCCCTGGTTTGCTTGCTCACCAAGCCTCGGTTCCTTTCCTGTGGACTACGCCTGCTTACAAACTCGCCACAAAAATATTAGAAATATGGAGGAACTATTTCCCTGCTATCCTGCCTTCAGCACAACTTAGGAAAAAAATCAAGGTATTCCAGCTCTTCAGCAGCCCTCAGAGGGTTTCTCTCCTTGTTTGCAAAAGCCCAGTTAGAAGTGGATGGCCACCTGCTCCTTCCCGGCGCCTGAGGGATGTTTATACCCCTGGTGTGCTGACACTTCAGGAACGAAGGAGACTCACCTTCTCCACCATTTATTTTTAGTGTCTGCATTTATACTTAGAAGAGAAGCTCTGCCAGGCCTCTGGGAGCACCTTCCTGCAAGGCAGGAGGGGAGGCCACGAGGAGGGAAAATAAGTTGTGAATGTAACTCTCATTTATTTCCTGGAACTGTGACACTGCACAGGCACGTGTACCAGAAGAGGAGAGGAGAGAGGGAGAGTCAGGGCTTACCTCTAGTAGCTTCGACTTGGCCTTTCACCCAGCCTCCTAGTTTGCGCACGACTGCTGCTTCACTCAGAGGGTTCCTAAGAGAACAGGCAAATTGAAATCATGAGGATGGAGAGAGACGCTCACTAAGGACTGGAGTAAAACCACTGCCAATCTGCAACTTGTCACATTTCTTCTTTTCTTTTCAGTTCCTACAAAACATGTTCCTGTGTACTTTATAAAATTTCTACAGTAAGTATTATATGCATGTAGCATTAAATTCAAAAGGAAGAATTTGTAACCCATATCATAGGCAAAAGGTTAATAGTTCTAATATTTAAAAAACCTCTTAGACATTGAGGAACACAAGACTGAAAACTTGATAGAAAAATGAGCAAAAGATAAGAACAAATAATTCAGAAAACATATGTCAATATTCCTTTAAACATATTAAAAGATGTTCAAACTCTCATTATTAGAGAAATGTAACAAAATCCTATGGTATGTTTTAAAAATGGTATACCATTTCTCACCTACCAAATTGATGAAAATTTGAAAATCTTGACAACAAAATCTATTGGTGAGACTGTTGGGAAACAAGTATTCTCATACGTCGGTACAACTGGTACGGAAGGGGATTTGGCAAGATTGAAAAAAACTACATACGCACTTGTGTTTCACCCAGATATCCTATTTCTAGAAATTTACCCTGAAGATACAGCCCCAAGAACAGAAAAATACATTTGCACAAGTTTATGCGTCTCAGCATTATTTTTAATTACAAAATACCAAAAACAACCTAAATGCCTATCCATAGCACAGCAGTGGAATATGGTAAGATACAGCCACTCAATGGAGTCCTACGGAGCTGTATAAATAAATGAGGAAGATCTCGATGAACTGGAGAGAGTTCAAGGATATGCTGTTAAGTAGAAACAGAAAGTGCAAAAGAGTGTCTAGACTAATATGCTGCTTTTCATGTCAGGAAGAAGGAGAAATGAGAAAATACACATGCGTTCACTCGTGTATGCAGAAATAAATAGAGGAAGGATAAATCTGAAACTCAGATTGGTTACCTAGACAGGATAGATGGGAACAAAGTACCTAAAAAGATGAAATTGAAACACAATGTAAGGGATGAAGGGGTTCTATATCTCTGACTATCCCTTTCTGGAAAGTTCTGAATTTCAGAATCATAACAATGTTTCGCATGCTAAAAAGAAATCAGTAAATGACTAAAATCAAAATGAAAATAAAATATTGTAAGGGAAACCCAAAATAAAATATGAATAGCAATAAGTGAACCTAACTGTGTTACAAATGAATAGTGCAACATAATCTCCCATACTGTGATTAACATGCGGTGTTAATATTGGAAAAGGAAGATACAAAAATTCTTTGATTTTTTTGGTAAATTTTCCTTAATTTGAAATTTTTTCAGAACGAAAAGTAAAAAAGTAAAAAATGAAGGAGGTGGGGAAGAAAACAAGTAAGTAACTCTAGAAAACAGTATTTTGGCTATATTTTGTAAGGCTACAGTAAAATAGAACTGTACACAAATATTACACACTCTAGTTTGTAATTTTGCTTTTCACAGAGGTATAGGTTAGCAATTCTGAAGCTATTTTGAGTATTTTAGGATTAAACAAATAAGTAAAATAGTATAATAATGAAAGCCAAATTTCTCACTGTAGTAGACAGAGATTTCAGATAAGAATAGAAGGAAGAATAGAATAAACTACATTGTGGGATTGGAATTACAGATAGTATGAACTCATGATCAATATAAACTCAAATATATATATCACAAATATAAATATTTGCAGATAGATGGATATAGAAATAGATACAGATGTATGTGTGAGTATCAATATTCTTAGCTCTGTCTGCTACAAGAGACTGGAAGGAATGATGCTCTGGTACCCATGAGCACATTCAATGACCAAATGTTGGTTTCTAAACACCATTCTCTTATAAAAAGAACCAAGAATCCTTGGAGAAATGGCTGATTCAAGGGCTGGACAGGGAAAGTACAAGATGAGCCTGGAACATCTTGTGATGCCAGAAAGTGAGGAAATGCTCAAAATATGATAGAGACATCAAAAGGACACACTGGCCAAATTTAAGGGGCTCCTGATGGTTAAATCTGGGATAGCTAAGCAACAAAATAAATGTCAACACTAGCAGATTATAATACAAGAATAAAACAAATGTCCATGAGTCCACACTCACTAAATAAGTAAATAAGCAATTAAAGTGGGGAAGGGAAAGCTCCTCCTCACAGCAGAACTCCAATTCGTAAGCGTAGAAGGAATGATGAAAACAGAAACTACGAATTGGAAAAAAACCACAGTTATTAATTGTTGCAAACAAGAATCAAAAGAGATGCTAAAGTTACTGGAGTAAATATGTTGAGAAAAGATATTTGCATAATTTCAAAGTATGTCCCCACAAAATAGCGGAAAAGAATAACTTCACAGGGGAGAAATCTCAGTTAACCGTGGGATCAAAGATCAGATCACCATTAACGAGGCATAGTGGCATCACGTGCCTCCTGATGTGATGCACTGAGAAGAGCACAACAGTGCTTCTGTGATATTCTTGCCAAAAATGCATTACCTAAATTTCATTAGGAGGAAACATGAGACAAGCTCAAAGTGAGTACATTCCACACAATAACTGGTCATGGTCATCAAGGTCATGACAGACAAAGAAAACTGAGGAAGCATCTGAGATTGGAGGATTCAAGACAACATGATAACTTGATCCTGGAACATAAAAAGG